TGGTTAGTGATCCCATCTATTGATCTTCTAGTGGGTTGTATCTATCGGCCTCCCCGAACTACTCAATTTGCAACCCAAAAGCTAATCGATATGATCAATGCTGCTTCCAGCACCATATACAAATCCAAAATTACGTGTGGAGATTTCAACCTACCACATGTTAGCTGGATGCTGCCTACACTCAGAAACACTGCGGGGATTGAGGAAATCATCTCATGTATTCACCTCAATGGGTGGACCCAGCATGTTAGAGAGCCAACCAGAAGTGCTGCTACCTTCGAGCTCGTATTCACGATGGAAATGTGTTACGCTTATATATTCATTGATAATCCACTACCTGGCTGTGATCACAACACGGTGCTTTGTGATATGACTACTGATTCACCTAAACGACCAAGTAAAATGCTAAAACCCATTCGCAACCTCCATCGTGTGCACTGGAATTCATTTAATGAGGTTATCAGTACCATGAACTGGAATATATCATTTCTAACTCACAATCCTACTGTGGCTACAAATGAGTTTATTAACGGTATTGCCTTTGGTGTGAATCTACTGGCACCTATCGTATGGAGGAATACCTATAAACATAGTGGTGAACTCAAGCTTCTGTACAAAGCCACAACTAAACTGAAGAAACTTAAATCACTATATCGCAGGAGCAACAGCTTCTCAACATTGCTACAAATACACGAGACTTTGCTACAGCTACAACGTCCAACCCAAAGCACCAAAAGTGAAGAAACTCGGTAGTTAGAAACGCTGAAAAATCAAGTACACGAATGCAACCACTCAAACGAAGAAACCCTAAACCCCATCAGGAAATTGAAACGTTGGCCCTGGACGATGGTTCAATAACGCGCAACATCTGTATATGCGAAGCTATCAACGTTAGTTTTGTCTGCAGCTTTGTCCCAAACACTCAGCCGTTTCTCCTCTCACGAACGAGTTACTCTGTAATATTCCTGTGACGTTGAGAGAGGTGCAAAGTGCCGTCACATCCATAAAAACATCAACGCGTCCATGCCCAGATGGCATCTCCTCAACTGTTATAAAACTCGGCGGAAAAACATCTTTCTACTGTTATTAAACATCACACTTTCACTTACTATCGGTTGCTTCCATCTCAATGGAAGCAAGCCATTATAATGCCTAAGCTACCGCCGTATAAATCACACCTTCACTGCTTCCAAAGCCCTAGAGAGAATAGGCAAGAGGAACAATGTCCAATTTCTTACAAGACTGGACCTGATCAACCCCTCACAGCACGGCTTTCTCTCAAAACGCTCCTACGTTACATGCCAGCTACAATTCTCCGATCATGTCAAGACTATAACTGACAGGAATGGCAGTCAGTACAATTCTGCTGGAGATGCTAGAGTCGTCCGACCGCGTGCCGCGCGAGCCACTGCTGTCCCTTATAGAGTTATACGTCATTGGAAACCCTCTGCTAAGCTGGTTCGACTCATACCTAAACGATCGAACCCAGCTAGTTAGAATCGGTCAGCAATACTCTACGCCAAAACAAATAACCAGCGGCGTCTTCCAGGGAAGTGTGCTCGGACCACTACGTTTCCTAATCTACGTAAACAAAATATGCGACCTGATCAAACAAGGAGTCCCACTTCTGTTCGCAGATGACGTCAAACTGGTCTACTCATTTCATCCAGACCAACCACAAATGTGCCTGGGAAGCATCAGTGAAGACCGATTCGCACTAAATATAGCTAGTGAATGTTTGTTAATGAAATTTGCTGCAAGAAAATCCCAAGTACTGGGGTACATATGCCGCATTTCGGAAGATCCTATCACAACTGCCGGAAACGCGGTCCCAACGTTTGATTCGGTGAGGGAGTTAGGAAGTAGGTACACCAACTCTTTCAATTTCTCCGAACATGTGCTTTATCAGATTGCGAAAGCAAGGCAGCTATGTGGATATAACACTAGAACTTTCTTACTGCTTGAAACACGACTTAAGTCATTCAAAATAATCGTATGACCAACTATGGAATACTGTACGGTCGTTCGCAGCTAGGAGAAAAGGAAGACAGAACAGCTCTGGAAAATGTCCAACGATCGTTTACAAAGCAGGTCATGGGGCACTGCTCAAACCTGTTATTATGGTCGCTGTCGAGAAATCCAAATGGATGCACTTTGGCTGAGACGTTTAAAGAACAACTACCGTCTCTTCTACAATATTATTAACCAACGTATGTACGCAGACAGCACCACACTTGAGCTGCGAAAGACTGCAATCTATCCCACACGAAATGAGGGATGTGCTGTAGTAAAATATCCAAAGAAAACTCATCATTTCCATGAGAAGCAGCAAGTCGTTTCAGAAACCTTCGCATTCACCACAAGAAGGGCTCACCTATCTTCCCATTGGCTAGCGGAACTGAACTGCCAATCTGGGCAACTGACCTAGATGTCCTGGAACACGAGCATTATTTCGCTGATAAATAAATACCTGTACATTTTACAATGCACTAGTTTTCGACAGCTAGTTTTGCAATGTGCATTGACTTCTAGGCGTTGAATCTGAGAGTAACTTGGAGTTGGAGCCAGAAGAGGAGGAGATTAGTTCAACCGGAATCGCATAAAATGAGGCTGATTTAACACACAGGTTGTGGATTATCAGCGATCTGATGTTCCGCACACAGTACGCTGCAAGCAACTTCCCATCTCTCTACATCTAGGGTATGGTACCTGTGATAAGGCGATACAGGCATCTGGATTGCATCTTCCACAATCCGTTTTCCAGTCCCCGCGTCCGAATGGGTTTGGATGCGACTGTGGTACACAAGCTGGCATGCTGACGCCTGTGGCTGAATAGCGGCATGTTGACTATGCCTGTGTAAATGTATTCTCTGCATCACGGTTGTGCAGACAGAACACGCATAAGGTACAAAAAGTGCGATATACTGAAGTAAAAGTGAGCATTCTGACGACGACATATTGGGACGTAGTTGAGGCTTTTCCTAGTGATAATAGCAGATTTCAAATAAGAATATCGGAAGACGAAGGTTGTGGGATGACGCTATCATTTCGTCGGCCAGGTATATGCAACTATCAAAGAATTCAAAACAATGTCAAAGGAAATCTACTAGTGGTCAACTGTTTTCTCATTGGTGCATTGCACGCTAGCACGGTAGGCTTAGTGTCAGTCCTGTTGGGCGAACTTATCGAAATCTAGGTGTCCGAATCCATGAACACATTCCAAAGTGGCTCAGCAAACGGATGAGGCATACAACGGTGCATCCGGTAAATGGGGAAGCAAAGTTGCTTCCACAATTACGAGGAATTTCATGAGCACCGGTCACCCGGATGAGTCATTCATAGTCCTCGTGCGCAATCAAAGGCATTGGTATCAATCGACAGCGCCCACCAAAACACCGTGTCCAAAAACAACGGACAGTGGTGGCGTGCAACGCACCAATCGGAAAACAGTTGGCCGCTAATCCATTTCATGTGACATTGTTTTGAATCCCTTGTTAGTTGCAAGTACGTAACCGAGGAGAATGTAAGAAATAACAGTGTCATCCCACAACCTGTCTTCCGATACCCTGGTTTAGAATTTCGTGGAATTTCATGTTTCAAGATCTCAGATTTGTTGGAATGATGTGGGGGTTATCACCAAGTTGAAATGTGCAAGATACATGGTTAACCATGATCCGCTAGCCGGTCAGCGGTGGAACCAGTCGCCTGGACTCAGGCCGCCCTATAAATAATAATAAGGGATCAGAAAAGTGGCATAAAGAGACGGCAACAACAATCAGATAAAAAAGTTAAGAGTGGAGAGCCAAGTTGTGTGTGACTTATAACCAGTGCGGAATAAAAATGGCACAAGCATTTGTTATCCTCAGTTTGCTGCGTGTGCATTTTGGGGAAGTGGAACCAATTTGTGGCTACAAGGTGAAAACTGCAAAGACTTAAATGCAACGGAAACGACCAGACGGATAAGTTTCAGCTACTAAACAAACTGAATGAAACAGGTGCTTATGCGCACCCAACTAAGCGACTTCAGTATGCGGCTGATACACCGAAGCACTTTGAAAGCAGTCGGTAATCATCCACGAAAGCGTGCTAAGGACGGGTTTTCCTCACCCAGACAACCATTACTTGCTTTCCAACCGAGATAAAGATTGTAACCAATTTAATCGAAGCCACTGCACTCGATCTGATTTGATCTCATCGGATCATTGAGATTGCGTGTCGCAATCCATTCATACAACGTGTACTTCAAAAGGAGCCGCAAAATCGATCATTAACTGTTGCGGGGTAGCGGTCACAACTAACATCCCAATGGCCCAGGGTTAGATGCCTGCCATCTCTATCCGATGAGATTAAATCAGATCGAAACGCGTCATAGGAGTGCAGTGTTTTCGGGCGGGCAACACCCAATTCCTGTCTGCTTCCACTATGTTTCTGGTGATCGAAAGACCAAGTTTCACTTCACTGGGAAGAGCGGTCAACATTGAGATCGCGCGTCGTAATTTCTCCACGTAACGTGTACTTCAAAATGACCCACCAAATTAATTGAAACCACTTGGTGGAATGGATCAGAGGCTTGACAATGACCAATTGTGTAAGAGGTCACCCCACGTCGGCAGTGAGCGGATTAGTGTGTACATGTGAAGGCACAGATGCTGACAGAAAATTACGAGCGAGCGAGCAAGTGACTATTGGATGAGGCACTTGAGTGTACGGAGACGTAGACAGAGTAAACTAGAGCACGGCATAGAGACGAGTACAACACGGACCATTGCAAACGATTGATGACAAACAGGCTGGGTCGTTTGAACAAGGATTTATAACGGGCAAGAAAGCGATTTCTTGACAAGTCCCTAGGGTGACCGGAGCGGGGATTATAAAGTGTTTGGCTGAAGTGACAGGAAAAATGGAAAATGCTAGTTTGTGGTGGCACCGAGTTATTCACATGAGCACATATGTAGGCACAAAGGTCGTTAAATAAATGGTTGGAAAGTGTTTAAATTTACCGTTACACATTGGATCGCGGACGACATACGCCATACGTGCATCGGTAGGGTCAAGGCGCAAAGAGTCGTTGTACTGCCTCGCCACTTCTGCAGCGACAGAATCTAAACAGATGACACCATGAGAAAACGCGTTGGTTTGATCCGGAGGTGAGCTATAGTGACGCTCGATGGGTGATGGCGCTTTTGCATTATGCCCGCCGTATCCGACCGCTCGCGCTAATGATAGCAGGTGGGCTACAGTTTGTGGGGACACAGCAGTAACCTGTTTGTACCAAGAGGTGGATCCGGTTCCAGTGCTGACGAGAATGCCGCTAGACTTTTGCCGGACAGATGCATCACCGTCTACGGAGATTTCATAGTGGGATACCCTGAGCCAAGTTTAAGGTGTAGTAACTCAAGATTAAAACACGAGGTAACGCAATACACGGAGTAAAATACGGATGCTAAAGTGACGGGAATCATGGAAAACATGGAAATGGAACAGTGAAACAACTGACGCATGTAGTAAACAGGTCGTCAAGATGGAAACAACTTAGAAACTTAGAAAGCAAAAATCATCCAAGTGTATCATTCTTGACTGGCGAAAGACATACATAACAAAAGAAGGGAACTCAGCCGAATGCCTAAAACTGGTGAAAGCCAAAACGAGAACAAGAGATTAGACAGAGCCTGTATAGGTCCGCACCATAGCAATCTCTAGACAAACAAATAAAACAAAGCGGATTGGAAGAAGCATTGCGTTGGATTACTCGTCATATGGATGGATTGATAGAAGCAATCTCAACCTGGACTGTGGTCCCCTTTAGTGACAGTTATTGACTGTCCGAACAGGGTGTGTTTTGTGTGCCGAATGCTTGCAAATGTACAGCATTCTGCGACTTGTTCGTCATGGCTGTTTGCTGTTTGGATAGCAGAACATGGAAACGAGCTCGGAACTTTAAGATCGTCGGGCGATGCTTTTATCGCTATGCGAGGGGGACCTGCAGTGCAGTTTTGCAGTTTAGGAGTAAACGCATCTGCTGGTAATTCAGCGTCCTGGGTTCGAGTCGCAGTTTTGGGTATCCCTACAAGAAGAGCACACATAGGCACAAAATCAGCCATGGAGTGCAGAGTTTGGACCAAGTGAGGTGGTTTGGGGTACGTCGTTGGAATGAACAAATATAAGCAACAAACAACCCAGACGGCCAGCGGGAAATGTAGCTCCCGGATTCGGTCAGTGGACGCAACAGGTGCAGTCGTCCATCCCCACGGTTCTGCTGATTGGGGTAAAACGGTGCACACTATGGTGAGTTCTTCGTCGTATGCTTAACCGATTCGAAGAAGGAAAGACATTGGCTAACAAAGGTAGTTAGTTATGAAAGTGCACGAATAATGTATCTATAGGCGTACTGCGGGTCAAACGTGTTGCAATTTTGTGGAGTTGAGTTTGCCGGATAAGACGCCTGCTCCAGAAAGAAGGACTTTTTCGACAACGCTTACCAATTTGATCGATATCGGCGGACATTGCAATCAAATGCTGCGATAGAGAGTAGGTGAGCTAATGCACATAAACTGAGTGGTAGTGAAAAAAGACTACTGATGCCAATGTAAAATGCAAGCTGGTGTTGGTATGATAAAGCAATGGCATTCCTAAACGTGTCCCCGAGAGAGAAGAACCAAGAGGTGATATAGTTGTATCAACAACAATAATCGGTTGGACTCCGTGAAAACTGCACCGTGGCCATGCCCAGCGTATATATAAATAGACATGAACAAGAAAATTGCCCGGCTTCAATGGATTGATACACAAGCCAAATACCACTCGCAATCTAGAGAGTCAAGAGGCGGCGTTTATCGGAAATAAGATTTGTAAACCAGACAGGCACTAAAAATCTCCGCACCTAGATAACAACTTGGTCTATGACCCATGGCCAGCTACAGACGTAGGATTGAACAGCTACATTAGTCAGCCTTCCATCCTCCAGTGACTCGAAAACGAAGAAGTCCCGAAGGATTCAACGAGAAAAAGCGGGTGCACTACAATGTACCAATGAAACACCCACGGGTTCGTAAAAATTACGAAGGAAAGAACAAAAGGTCAGATCCAAAAACGAACCTGATACCACCAAAACAAAACAAAACCTTGTAATTATGGTGTGACACGATAGCAGGTATAGCAACCTTGACCTACTGATGCTTCCAAACACATTCGAAGAATCCAGGAAGAGAAGCCTTACGGATTTGCAAATTTGATTTAATGCAAAGGCTAAAGAATGAACAACATATGTCACTGCATCCAATGTGAAGCGCTGGTGACCATACGCAAGCTGGTTGGTACCGCCTTCAGGTGCGGATGAAAATACCCGCGGAATTAACAGTCCAACAAAAAATTTTAGGAGCAGAAATGTACATGCAATTGGGCAATAGTTTTAGGATCCATCTCTTGGTATTGGACTGATACTAGCCGTTCTCCAAATGCCCGAGATCACACCCGTAGTGAGGCATCTGTTAAAGGCAGTGTGAAAGTATCAGCAAACTCCTTCAAAGATAATGCTGAGAGCATCCAGACCACAAGCTTTGTTCGCCTTTACTCTTTTGAATTCCTTGTGATCGTTGCTTTGATCGAAGGGCACACCTGGACTTGAGCTAATGAAGGAGGGCAAGAAAGATGAGCTTAGTGAAGCGGAACTAAACTCCGGATTCAGTTTATCCCATTCCAATTGACCTCTCTGGCTACAAACGCTCTTACCACAGAGCTGCCTCAGAAGCCTAGAACTACTTCGACGTATAATTGGTTCAACCATTTTATCTCGGATTTAATTGCCGTGGTTAGGCTTTTGACACGGGTAGCATTCTTGCACTTGTAAACCAATTCTTTCATCCTTCGAAGTCGCTTTAGTAGTAGTGAGGAAAACCAATCTGCCCTTAGCTAGATCGTTTCAACAGGGCAACACATGTCAAATCAATATTTGATGTGGTCCGTAAGATGGTCACATTCGAGCGACAGGTCCTCGACGTTAAAGACCGAAAAAACAGTTAAAAAAACATGGTCTGGAGCCTCGTGATATTTGCCAAGGAGCGATTTCGCCGTTTGATAATCTTGTAAGGACTACTGGTCAGAGTTAACAAGCTAGACCTGCTGTATATGACTGGGCAGCTTTAAAATAAAATGGTCTGAGCTGCTGAAAGGAGCCTGTTTTTGCACTGGAAACATCAGTCGTTTGTTTGTGAACACAGCGTCCAACTGGTAAAAACAGTCACTAGGTCTACCAAGAACGTTGTATCCTTTCTATTGAAGTCGCCAACAACAACAGAGAAAGTACAATCTAATTAAAGCGGTAGCATTGAAGAAACGTGGTACTCAAAGGTTTAACTCTAATGCAGATGTGTCAGGAGCAATGTATATATTTTGCGCGATGACTGATTGAAAGACACTTAAGAACTTCGATTTGCAGCTTATAGAGATCGCTGAGTATGTGAATATTACGATTGCTGAGTTGCAGCAACGTTGATTAACGTAAGTTATAACGCCACCACCACGAAACTGGGGCTTTCAGGGGCGGAAAATAACCATCGAGTTGAATTACCACATTTTCCACATCAGAATGCAACCAGCCGTCTTGTAATAAAACGATTCCTGTATTACCATACTCATTCCGCTGCACAATGGCATTGAGATCACCGATTTTACCAAGAGGCGAGCAAACATTACTGGAAAGTATCAGTGGGACTTGGGTTCTGTCGGCAGAACAACGACCGAGATCAGATTGCCAGCCAGCAGGATGCTTTCAATTTCTTCCAAGAGATTTATTCCTAATTCGTTTGGAGGTGTTCCTGACTTTATGATCTTATTCGATGAGGCACGGATTTAAGGCAGTAACGCGTAACATTGACCTTGAGACTTGATCAGAAAAAAAACAAATTGGTTCAAACTTACAAATAAAATATGGAATGCGCAGCCGGTAGTGCAAAATAATCAAGGTAGTCCCTTTGCTGAATCAAAAAATTAGCTCCTTAGACAAAGGAGAATAGGAACAAAAACAAGGCGGCCCTAATCGGTTGGGACAGTGTCGTGCTCTTACACCTTCCCTATTAAATAGGGTAAATCAGCTATAAAAGTCTGGAGAAAGTCCATATGGCCCCGCAGCTCAGTGTAACTTCAAAGAAGGATAAGTTGGATAGCCACTTTGCTACAGCATGTCTCAATGCCGCCCCCTCCCCGAGAAAAAGAAAATAATGGATAGCTAGAGAGGAACCGTAGGTGCGAGTGTTTTCAATAGCTGCAGTTGCAATTACCGTGTCATACGTCACCAGAGTTGTACTGATGATGACGATAATAATAATAATAATAATAAAATAATAATAATAGAAAATGGCTATTACTGTTCGTTGCTGTTAGCAAACAACTGTGATCCGGACACCGCAGTGCGGTATATTCAATTGCCACAACTCCATCTCGAGGATGAGAATAATACGCAATCATGTGAGCTAGAAGGCAGAGTACAAAACAAAGAGAAGAGAACACGCACCCAGCTGAGTAGATTACTCGTTCAACTTCTTTACGTCTTTGAACCCCGTCATCGAAGGACCACCACGCGGTTTCGTCCAACTTGCTGCAGCCACAGCGTATAATGCATGCCGGAAAAGACGGTTAATAGGTGAACCAATGTAAGCCACTAAGATTCAGAAAACACTCGAGGGATGTACCTGAGCGTTTCTTGACAAAAACCAAATGATGCACCTAAGCGCTGCCCAGCCGGTGTTCCCATCTGATGAGAATGATATTTGCAAGCATTGGTGATTAAGGACAACCAACCGTTTAATGACTTCCCTGCGAATTAGCCAGGTCTCTGATTCATGCAGTAACACCGGCCTTATCGCAGCGTTCTACGCCCTACCTTTCACTGACTGCCTTATATCCTGCCGTCTCCATAGATTGTTGAATCTATGAAATGCCACAGGGGCCTTGCTGATACGTGAAGTGCCTTCCTCAGTAATTTGACTACAAGGTGATAACTAAAAAGTGGGGCAACCCACTGCTCCAAATGGCTATTCGCTGGTAGCTAGAACCGGTGGATGGCCGGGCCATTCCTGCGACAGTACTTTGCAAGCGCGTGTCAAACGTGCACCGCTACGCGTCATTCTAATTAGCCGTACTCTGATAATCACTGCGTCCGCGTATTCAAGTCCACTTGGAATAATTTCCATTCAAGAAAAGCCTGAAAGGAGTCACCTGCGCTCATTTCGACGACAAAGTTAAAGAGAAAATGAGCTATGGGATAACCCTGGTAATCTCTAATTGTTGTGGGGAACTATGGATTTCCCTGTAAGCGTTTGACCGACCTCAGGAGTTATGGTACAGATTTCAGAAAAGAAATCAGCTTTTTTG